GAGCTCCATATGGAGCAGGGAAAATTAACAACAAGATGAAAATCACTGCAGCAGCAGGGAGTCGGAATTTTTGAAAAAAAAATGAAATTTAAAGATGAAGAAAGAGAAGTAATAAATTAATGGGGTGTGAAAACATTCAAAGCTTTACAATACCAGGGGCACTATTTGCTCAGATTTTTTCCCTTTTTTTAACTTCAGGTCATTTTGATGTAATTTATTAACCAAGATCAGGAATTGTAGCCAAAAGAGGAACAATATTTTTATACGTGCAAAAGTACTTTAAATACATTTGTATCTGTATTAGCTTTGCTTTCCTGTATCTGTATTAGCTTTGCTTTCCTGTGGCATCTTGCTTACCAAATTCCCCAGTGCCAGTGCGGACACATCCCCTGAGAAGACTCCTTAATGGATTGACTATCATCCTAACACAGGGCCCTGCTGTAAAGTTTGAGTGAAGGATGACAATTTTTAGCAGGCAATCCTTTTTATTTCTCCTAAATATGGTGTCATTAAACAAACCATTGCCCACCATCACGGTTTTGAAGTCAACTGAATCTGGATCTGTGTGACTCACCACACACAGCTCCAGTCCTTGTCCAGGGCTGCACATCTTCCCACATTACTATTAAGCTAAATTGTTCAAGAAATCGAGACATCTTTGCAAGATGTTTAAAAAAGCAGTTTCTCATAATCCTGTGGTAGAGGATGCTTTATAGGCACCCAGAATTAATGGTACTGAAGTCGTCGAGAGTTCTCAGGCCGTCTGGATCCCCCTGTCACTCTACTAAATACATGATAAGAAAAGCAAAAGGGCTTTAGGGAATGGCCATGTCATCTACAGGCACAACCCTCTGGTGCCCAGCACTCTCATCTGCACAGGAGGCCAACCTAGAGCAGGGAAGGTAAACAAGGAGAAGGGGTTGGTAGGGCTGTGTGGATAACAGAGACTTGGTAGGAACAACCAATCAAATTCAGAGGTCCTGAAGCCAGTAGTGGGGTTTAATTGCTTCCAAGCCCTAAACTTAACTATACCCATTCTTCCCTCAGGCAAGGTGCCTGGCCTCTCAGCACTGCAGTCTTGCTCACCTGGAGGCTGGAAAGAGTGGTTCCCTGCAGGAGGGAGGTACAGCCTGGGACAGATACAGAAAGTGCTCGGGAGCTCGAGGTAGGAAAGGTGCTGGATGAATTCATGATGCCACTGTTCATCTTCTTAATAAGCCATAGTAATAAACTGCATTCATAGTGGCCCCCTAACCTCTTTCTGTGGAGTCCTAAACTGCGCATGTCCCAAGAGTCTAAAGGAAACTCTAAGAAACACCCAACCCACAAAACAATGAAAATAGAATCTCAACAAAAATCCAACCCTGTAACTTATATGTTGGTCCCAGGCCACTGCCTCTTGCTAATATCCTCCCAACATCCTTCCCTTATCAGCCCTCTCACCATGTCACCAGCGGGAAGAAGGGCTGCTAAGGATGCTGTCAGCGGCACTGACACAGGGCAGAGGGGGGGATGTTCTTGAAGCTTGCTTCTCTCCCAGGATTCCCTCAGCTCACTTTACTCATAGCTCCAGGGATGGCTCACAGGTTGCTAAGAACTTCCTTTGGCAATCTTCTCTTGGTAGCTGGAAACTGTTGTGTGTTGCAGCCCCACACTAGGGCCAAGATGGAGCTTCTCTAAGTGGTTTAATAGCCATAATCTCATTTGGTCAGCATGCTCCTCCAATCAGATAGCAGAGGTGGATTTCGCAGGACTCTCACTTTAGACAAGAGGAAACCAAGGCCTCAGGACTTGCAAGGCAAGAATGGCAGCTGTGGTGAGTTTGTGGTCCAGATGAATTCTAATGCTCATCTTCTGCCTCCAGGTCCAGCTCTTTCCAATGGGCTACTCTTCTCAGCTTGCCCCTCGTGAAGAGGCTCAGGTCTGGCACCTTGAATGCCTTTGGGTTTAGAGCAGCAATTCCATGTCACCATCCCTAGCCCAAGTACACAGGGATTCAAAACTATGATACCTTAACAATATATGAAAAGCTTTTACATTCAAGGACCTGCCTAGTAGGCCATAATTAGGATGGAGTAGTCCTTGAATTGGTAGATGGCATGTTGCTTTGATTCTATGGCTGCTTTGTAGTGAGTTTCCTGTCATTAGAGGTATTCAAACAGAATGTGAATGTTTGCTCTTCAGAGATGTTGTAGAGAGGTTTGATTCCACGATGTCTGAGATCCCTTCCAACACTTAGAGTGTATGATTCACTCCTGCCTACTGCACTTGGGATTCAATGAAACCAAACTAGTCACAGTTCAACCGTGAGCAATCAGCAATTCTGTTGGCCCATCTTCTAAGAGGAGGTGGTCTCAGAGTGCGTGGGAGTTCCAATAAGACAATGTAGGCACTTATATTTTCCATATTTTTGTTATACATAATAATGTGACTCATTGTTAGATATCCATGTATGCACAACATAACAATATAATTTGTTCAAGATCGTTCCCAGTACCCTTCCTTTTCTCCCCTCCTCTCTCCACCTGGTCCCTTTCCTCTACTCTACTAGCCCCCCTTTGCTTTTCATGTGATCCCTTCACCTAGGACAGGAGTTTGTGAGGGTATTTTTGTGTTTTGTTTTTGGTCCTGTGGATTGGTCCCAGGGATGCTTTACTATAGAGCTACATCCCCAATCCTTTTAATTTTTATTTTGTGACAAAGTCTCACTAGATTGGTCTTGAACTTGTGATCCTCCTGCCTCAACCCCCAGGGTTGCTGTGATTACAGGTGTGTGCTGCCATGCCTGGCTAGGAAAGCATTTGTAAAGTACTTTTCCCAACTTTCCCTTGATAGTATAAAACCTGTAAAATAAATGCCATTTTCACCAAAATGTAATAAAACACCCAAACTTCTATTGAAAGATCTGGGAAACAGGCCTGACAATAGGCTCAAAACTACTTCTATTATTTGAAATAAAAGAACAAACTGGGTGACAACATTCTTTCATAATTTGGGGAATCTAGTTCTTTTCCCCACTCTGATGATAAAGGCATTGCTAATTAGGGAGTACAGCATATTAGAATTTTCCAACTTCCACGTGATTGATCCAGTAAATGCATACTTTTAAGACATTTGGGAAACAACACTGCAAAGGTGTGCAGCCTCTTCCCAAATCTGACCATAGCCTTCAAGGGCTTCATTTGTCAAGTGCAAGGGCAATCTACTTCTCAGACTTGTCATTCACCAAATCTTGCTGAATAACTACTTTAAACAGGAATCTCAAGAATATAGCTACATTTTCAACATTCAGAATTTTTATGAGATGGCTTTCAAGTTTTTTCTTTTCCTTTTTTTTCTTTTTTAATATGGCATTTTCTAGTTTCCCTTTATTACTTTTTTTTTGGGGGGGTACTAGGGATTGAACTCAGGGGTGCTTAACCACTGAATCACATTCCCAGCCATTTATTTTATAATTTTTAAATTTTGAGATAGGATCTTGCTAAATTGCTTTAGACCTCACTTAAGTTGCTGAGGCTGGCTTTGAACTGTGATCATCCTGCCTCAGCCTCCTGAGTGACTGGGTTTACAGACACACCTGGTTTAGGTTTTCTACTAAGATTTGTTTGAAAGACAGATACATCTTACAGGTCCTCTTCTGTTCATTTTCAAAATTTTACAGGATTACATAAATTGGCCAAACAATGAATTGTTTAAAAATTACTGACAGGATAAGAGTCTTACCAAGATAAATATTCTAATGAGTTATAAATCCTGAAAATGTGATTTTAATTTGATGGGCTACCTAGAGTTAAGCAGCAAGGCTGTAGACACTAAAATCTCACTAAATGCTAGATTAGAGCGCATGCTAAATGACTGCATTTTAGATTCTCTCTTTAAGGAAAAGATAATGTTTAAACAAAGAAGCTTACAAATTCAAAAGTGAGACTAACACTTCTGGACCTGACAACTTGGACAGTTTCTCTCCCACTTATCTGATGACTTTAACTGTGAAGGAAAAAGGATACAAAAGAGACATTTCAGTGAGTGAAGGATCTTTAAATGTCCACATGGGTACCAGGAAAATTTGCTTAAAACTGCTTATAAAGAGATAGAGAGAATGCGCCCCCTCCCATTATTCAATAACCACTGTTTGTGATGCATCTGCATAATCTAACCATGCATAAATTAGTATGTGTAATACAACACTTATTTGCATAATAATAGCAAGTTAATAGATGCTTAAAGAGCAGAGACCAACACCTCCTTTAAATCAGACATGCCTCCAGGCACTTTGGCCTGTACAGACCAAGATGCCAGAAAAACAGTGAGCATCAACCAGAGGAAAACAGTCAAACCATTCATTTTTCATCCCTCTCGACATTTCACTTATTTCCCTCCACACACAGGGGAATCATTTTCAAACCACAAAATAGCATTATATGTTAAGTGTGAGCACCCTCCTATAGTAAAAATCTTAAAGAAATTAAAACAATGCTAGTAAAATGGACTGTTTTTTTTTCTTAGAAATGTGGATAGGAAGAAGCAAAATCTAAAAAAGAATTATGCTCAAAATCAAACTCACACAAAATTGGGGGCCTATTTGCCTTGCAAAAATAATGACTTCAATTAGACATTTTTCATCCTTCTTCTTAACCCTTTAACTCAAATAATTTAATTGAATCCAAAATCCCGAAGAAAAGGGTATCAAAGAAAGACTGGACCCCTCCTCCAACCCTAATGTGAGCACATGGTACCGGGCAGGATGAGGGAAAAACATCTCGAATGTCACACAAAGGAAGATGATCGCTGTCAACCTTTAACAAAGGGGAAAAAAAGTCTGGAGTTTAAAAAAATCAAAAATCAATAGAGACTTCTAAATGACTCCTTTAAGATATCACTTTTCAATTTAACAGGACAGATTTATTTGTATGTGGCTCAAATGCTCACAATTGCTCCCTGCACCTTCATACATAGGAATGAATGTCACAGTGGCAAACGGCAGTAATGAACAATCTTACCTGAGGATATGGAAACCTCCCAAGAGCAAGCTGGGAAAGGAAATAATATTTGTCTAGTTATAGATTTGTATGCAGGGCAGATCTCCTTAAAACAGACAAGTACTAAATTTCAGAAATGCATCTAGCAAATACAAAAAGCTCACAACCTCAAATGCACAAACTAAATTATTGCTGTAATTACATTACAAGCTGTATTTAGAATGGACATTTTCAATAGACAATGTTGCATCCCTGATAAAATATTCTAATTTTAATAACTAGACATTACCCTTATGTAGTTTCTCTTAGGAATATTCTCAGCTCTGTGGCCATTATTTACATTTACATGTGTGCGACAGTTTCTTCTACACAGATATAAAACTGTTGGCTTCTTCTCTGTAAGATAGGAACATCTAATTGTTCCCAGCCCACAGCTCTGCAGTGATCAGTTTTTTTGTGTAAATGAAGGGCTATAGGAAGTGGGAATGGGCCAGGTTCTGAAATGAAAAACCATGCTATTATTTTCATACTTTTTGTTTGTTTTATTTGGTCCATTTTCTATCCATACATAGAGGGAAAGTGCTACCTCTGGTGTGAAAATGGCAATTTAAAGATTGTGAAGCTGAAACTTCAGTCTAAAAGTGGGAAAGGGAACCTTAGAGCTTCTGGATTAGCTTGACTCGTAAACTATTCTCTGTTTCTGAGCCAGTCACTTAATTTTGGTCTTTGGGTCCTCACCTGGAAAAACAAAATGATTCCTCCAAGACAGGGCTGACATAATACGATCAAATTTAACAAACTCACGATAATCTATTTAAGGAAAATAACTACATTCAAAGTAGAATCACAACATCAGGGAATTTTAAAGCTGGAATGGATCTGTATCAATCTTCTTCACAGATGGGACTTCCAGAGTCCCACTAAAGCAGTTCCTACACAGTTAATCAGTGGAAACCTAGGGGCTGACCCCAAGACTTGTGACTTCATTCAGAGTTCTTCCCAGCACATTATGCTGTCTTTCTAGATCTTGAGAAGTTGAACGCTTATTTCAAAAAAAGGAACATTGCTTAAACAATTTTGAACTGTATTTTGGAATTGTGTTTAGAATAATTTCACGTAACACAAGGACACCTACTTCATTTTATGAGAACTGCATCTTGGATTTAAAATGATGTCCCTCAGCTTTTTGATTGCATAAACTATTTGTAGACTAATGGGTAAATGATCTATAGATATTATCAAAACCAAAAGTTATATGCAAAGAACAAATACTTTGTTATTTGCTAAGGATAGAAATGAAGATATTAAGGTTTTCAAAGTTCCAAAACCAGTTTGAGCAATAGCAATATAATAGGAATTAACCATATGACCTTGTAAGGTGACTATTTTGAGAGTGTCACCACTCATTTGTGTGTGTGTGTGTGTGTGTGTGTGTGTGTGTGTCTGTGTGTTATGGGATACCTAGTGTCATTACTGACTTCTTATATCCAAGATACATACATATATATATTTTTAAATATATAAATTTATACTATTATTTCATTTGATGGATACAGTTCATCCCTTCAGGTATAAATAACAAAAGTATCACAAGATAAGGAGAAGGAAAGTGTGGCTGTTCACCTTAGTGGCTTTCAGAGTCTTGTGTGATCACATTTGTGGTCTATGTATTGTAACTCATCAGGAATGGGGAGGGGCTCAGCTTTCTACTGCCCCAACTCTGCCTCCACCCAACAGGCTACATTTTTGCCCTACATTTTAGAAATACAGTATGTTTCTGTCCAATGAGAGTGTGCACACTGATTCAGAAGGAGTCACCGTGGTCTATCATGGTGGTTGTCCAGGCATCTGTGCCACTGTGTACTGACCTAACAGGTGACAGCTCACTGAAAGCTGACACCTGTCAACACATGATCTGTGGATGATGAATTTTGCATATTATTCCATTTGGAGTTAAAGAAATGGCAAGGGGGGTCTTTTATCTAAGAAAGCTAATAGTTCAATAATACTAGAAAATATTTAGAACATCCTGTCTCCAACCCTCCTATAGGTACCGTACCATTCTCTTGGGTGCATGTTGATACATCCTTAGGGACCATGGAAGAATCCCATCCACACAGCTTACAGGCAGAAGAAACTTTTGTGTGACACAGACCATCAAGACCTAAACTAGCTTTCAGGTACCAAGACTGGCCATTGGTTTTCGAAGTTTAAAGAATCAAAAAATGATAAATGGAAGTCTTAAAAAAAAAAGAGTAGGAAAAGGTGAAAATGTGAATTCATCCCATTTCAACACAAAGCCTCCAGATTCTCAAATCATCATTTTGCATGGAAAAGCCAGGCTCCGGCTGACAAGGGACTGTTGCACTCATCTACTTGGCTCCTGTCACAACTGGTACAAGGTAAACAAGAATGGCTGATGGCATTTATTTGCTCTTTAAGGTACTACCATGCAGGAGACAGAACATTCATTGGGGATCTCTTTGTCCCAGTCTGCTTGGGAACAGGTGGCAGTGCTTGAACTGGTGAATACATCGTTTCTGAGCCTGGCTTTGTTTTCTGTATATTTTCCTGACACCCTATGGAACATCAGTCCTACCTGTCAACTATGCTTCTGAAAGGACTGCTTCTAAGACATCTTGCAGGTATGGACTGGTTCCTCGACCTTGAGCACTGCAAAAGTAGCACGACAATTGCTTCCTCTCTGACAGTGTCACCACTGGGTTGCTGCAGCCCCAGACCAAGGACTCCAATTCTATACTAGTAAACATGGGCAGTGGCACTACAAGGCTGTGACCGAGAGCAGTCATTTTGAGGCCCCAGCAGAGGAACACGCCTTCCTTCCATGTGTGTCCTTATCCTTCCAGGACCAATGCAGCTCCAGTATTTATGCTCCAACCATTTGTCTTGTGGCACATTAGAAGGAAATATGCAGCCAGGCCCTAGAACCCTTTTATCAAGCTGTACTAGGAAGAGGTAAAAAGGAAAACGGGCTCTTCAGAAACATGGCTGCATGAAGAACAAGTCTTCATGAGGCTGTCAAAAGTCAAAATAAACACAGAACCCTTGTGGGGAGAGGGAGCACACAGGCTCTAAGAGAATATTTCAGAGACAGACAGACCTGGGGCCATGCTGTATCTTTTACCCCTACTGGTCTATTAATCTACTTGCATTTCCCCAGTTTTTATTGTCAAGGTATTATAAATTAGGAAACTTACAAAAGAGAGTATGTAATCTTCTCTGAAATGGCCTGCAGATATGTCACTGTACTAAATGTGTTTCAGATTTAATGAAGCTTTAATGTCCTTTTTAATTTTGCCTGTTTCTGTATCACCAGGGGTCGGGCAAGGCAATCAGCACTCAAGAGGGTGGTTTGGTTTAAAACTAGGAAAAAACTCATTTGCTTATGAGTTGCACTGTATTTTCTTAATTAAATTTACTGAGTAAAATGGTTTAAGTTCAGCCAACCAATGACCTTTGTATGTAGATTTAGATTTATAAATAGGTTAACAGTTAAAGTAAAGGGGGAAAAAAGAATTGCAACAAAGCAAACAGATTAGGCTAAGCCAATAGAAATCTCTGCTCTCTTTATCATCTTTACAAAAGAAGCATTTAAATATAGACAGCTTAAGTCCAGTTTTAAAAAAGTATATTGAAAAATGTGGACCCACATAAGCGCCAGCAATTCATCAAAGGACTCTCACATCCTTTTCATTCCCAGGAGGGGAGCGGCTCATATTGTAAAAGATTTGGAAAAGCTTTATTTGTTTTTTGGGGGTGGTGGTAGACAAGAGGGAGGGAGAAGAGTCTAGTTAATGTTAAGTAAAAAAAAAGTGCATTTTAATTTCAAACACTTAAGATTCAGCAAACTGCTGAATACTCCTTGTGGGACATTTATTTTGTAAAAGGCAAAAAAAGAATGCAGGAGAAGTGATCATCAGTTGGGACTACATTTAAATCACAGTATCCACTAACATCTCACTGCAAAATTATGAATGTTCCTTCCTGCCACCTAGTTAATCTTTGATTTGGCCATCCATAATCTATGAATTGCTTTTGGTTAGCAGCATTTGAATATGTTGGACTGTATAATTTAAATAATGTGCACACAGGTGTGTGCACATGTGCGTGCCTGTGTGTCTGTAGTCACGACTGTCCAATATACAACAGTGGCATGAAGGAAACCTTTCTATTTTAACAAAGTTAGGATACAAGATTTTTGTCTGCAAAGGAACAAAATGGCTTTGATTGATCACAAAAACAATTAATGTCATGAAATTAAAAATGATAAAGAGAAAATATGTTGTAGCCAGAAAACAGTGCAGGATACAAACTCAGGACATGCTACTGGTGATCAAGTTGCTTACGTATAGAATATCAACCATGTAATGGGAGCAGTTTTAAATTTACAGTTACATTGAACAACATTTTTTTTTTTTAGGTGCTGGGAATTGAACCCAGGGTCTGTGCACCAGAGGCAAGCACTCTACCAACTGAGCTATATCCCCAGTCCCTGAAGAATAGTTTTTTGTTGTTATTCTTAATTTAGACATATTCTATGTTTCTCGGCAAAACTGCAAATTGAAAATAAGCATTTTCAATATAGCCAGTGATCTAGCTAAAGGGGGACTTTATAGTCTGAAATGTTCTAAAATTTGTTCTTAATTACCTTGTGCACATTTTATACAATTAAATTTCCATGTAAGGATTTTGCATTTAAATTGTGCACTGCAGTTAAACCTTCATTTCACAGAAATGCAGCAGCCACTTTGGAACATTCAGACACAAGGAAACTTTAAAAAATCAGACTTAACTACTGGATTATATAAAATTCCCCAGGTGAGATTTCGTCCCAAGACCAATTTACACAGTCCTACAGAAAGAGTTTAAATCATCTGAAACCATGCTGGTGAGGAACCATAATAAATATTAAATACCTCAAAATCGACTCTAAGATTCTACTTTTCTTCCCATGTATCAATTTCACTGTCCTCTTTCTGAATGGTTTAAAAACAATCCAAAGGATATAACAGCAATTTACCAGTGTTAAA